TACCAGTTCTGTCCTCTGAGTCTATATGAACATGCAGAAAGATCATGTTAGATTTAGTTTCTTGATAAAGGAAATATATTAATATCGCAAAGATGTTAGATTTAGTTGACAAGCTCGTAATAAATTCAAACTACTAGGAGTTACTAGTTCTTCAATTATACCAATATAGGAGAAGGTTCTTCAAAATACGGTGTGTATATGCACAAAAGAGTGGAGACGAAACACCGAAGCCTGGCCTTGGAGTGATGATGATGTATCACCTAATCCTTTCGACAAGTCCTTTCTGCATCAGGGCAACCGTAACATTCCTTATGTGGCTAATCTTCATTAAATCATCGTTGCATTCATCTGAATCTCTCTCCTGCCGGAGCTTCTCTATCAGCTCTTCTGATGTGTCTTTTAGAACTAATTTCTCAAGGGCTGCAAGATGTTTGATACCATCAGGAAGAAACCTTAGGTCAGGACAGTCTCCGAACCATAGCTCAACGAGGTTTTGCATCGCGCCCTCCTCTATTCCAACTTGGCTGAGCTGTGCCGCGCCACATATGTCTAGATGCCGAAGTTCTGGAAATGACCCTGCATAAAAATCCAACCTCTTCCCTTCGAAAGCATTCCATAGCAGAAGAGAGCATAGACCATGTAATTGACAAAGACAGGAAAAGGTTTGCTCATCAATATTGGAGAATGCCAGGTCCAACCGAGTGAGGCTATTAAGGTGTGACCAAGAAGAGAAAAGATGAGGCATCGATGTTTTTTCTAGCTGCCCCGCTAAACCAAGCCTTGAAAGGGTTGGAGGTAAATATAGCCCTTCCAGCCGCAGCACCTCATCCCCAGCTGCAACACCTTCAAGCCGCAGCACCTCATCCTCAGCTGCAGCTATAATTTCAAGATGAGCAAGACGGCTCATTTTGGTGATAGCACTGCTCAAGTCAGCAGAGTGTCCACTTCTCACATTGCAAATGCTGAATGTTCTTAGCTCTGTTAGAGCTCCAACTTCATGCAGAAACTCTGGAGTGGCTTTAATGGACTGAAGAGACCGCAGTCCTGCCATGTGCTGCATCCCATTAGGCACCTTGACTCCGCCTATTGTTAAAGTTTCTGATATGGTGGTAGTGCACGCATA